TATTGCCATTATTGAAACTAATATTGTAATGAATATTGAATGATTAATAATAAAGAACACTGATTCTTTTAATTTAAGATTTTGTAGTAAATGATATAAGGTTAGCATTGTTTTACTTTAAAAAATATATTATCGTGTTATACTAAGACTGAATAATTAAGGGTGTCCGGCCTTTTTACCAAAATGTCTGGCAAAGCTGGATGGTCTGTTCGGCTTCTCGGTTTAAAGACCTGGCAACCCTAGATGTATGTAGCTCATGGCGGCTGAACACGCTCATCTCGTCACCTCGTGTGCCTCTCGTCACGTAAAGGCTCGACGGAGAACACACCATGTACACACTCGTTGTATCATTTGAAGTTTGAACTCCATATGCCCGCTTGCTGCGTTTTGCCTTTGAACTATTATATTTTTTACACATTTACTAAAAATAAAATTAATAACCCATTGCTAAGAAGGAGATGGTGGATAGTTTCTATTAATTTACCGTAACAGTACCATGTACGGTGAATAGAATAGTGTATAGCTTGCGGCTTGCGCCACGAAAGATGAACAGTGCGGTGCGGTATGACATACGGGGAAGCGAAACCATAGCAACGGGCGACGCGCTAGCTCCAAGTAGTGTCTCCCTGCGTCCAGTCACCCGCGCACATACTTGTGTCGTCTTGCGTACTATCGATATCGAAAGTGTTAGCGACTACCTGTTATACAATATTTAAAATATATATATAAATATATATAAATAAAGTAAATTATTATTCAATAAACCTGGCACTTAAGACTTAAATATTGATATCGGTATTAAGAGTATGAAATATTTTATGAGATTTGTAAAACTTAGCAGGATCTATTGAAAGATGACTGTAATTATGTAAAGAAAAAAGAGAGGTTCAACTAGTCCCGGAAAAAACACATGTTTCTTCATAAATTTAAGTACATATATATTTTAAATGAAATTAAAAAAAAATGAATAATATCATTAAACACTGTATTTAATAAACTTTCTTACAGTGTATTACACTTCTTTATACATTATCATCAAAAAAAAAAGTTATTAACAATAAAATCACGTATGTCGTCTTGAGACAAAACAGAAATTACAAATACAAAATATTTTACCTCTTTAACTAAGTGTACACAAAATACAGAATATTCTTTAGCAGCAATTAAAACCTAACGATTATATATAAGTACGTTTTTGTAGAGACTTTGATGTATAGTTATAATGTCGACCTTTGACTTTTTACATATTAAAATGTCATAATACAGTTTGCATTTTTCTGCTTGATTATACATGTTATACACGTTAAGTAATATCATCATTCGCTCTCGGTATTCATCGCGATACCTACGAGACCCTTTGACTCGAGCGCAAAAAACCGACACGCTTCCGAGAGCGCACGAGGGACACGAGACGCGACGCGACGCGACGAGAGCACCCTGTACACACTCGTACTCGCCCTGTCTAGACATGGGTCGTAACGTCTTGGACGTAATCGGTTGTACGTAGTTTCGTGGATATGAGTAACTAGTTTCAAAACTGCTTATTTTTGTAATTAGTTACATATGTATACAGTATAGCGTAGGTTAGTTTCGCGTTTGTGTTATGTTATAATTACGAAAATATTAACATATTATAGGTAGGTATTATAATATTAGTTTAACTGTGTTATGTTATGATTACGAATACGTAACAGGTTATAGGTATTATAACATGTGCGCGACATTGTCAATATTAGTACCTTTGTACAATTTTATACAGTCACAAAATATGTAAGTATTTAAGTATTATTGTCCATCACATCACATAATTATTATGATCCACATAATACACAAAAATTAACTTAATACAAAAAATATTTATTATTTATTTACACCAATTATATGTCTGTTTATGTACACTAAATATTTATATACACTTTAAATGTTTATTCACAAGGAAACTATACATGTTATAATATTTATAAAGGAAAACGCGAAGTTTTTATGCCGGCTGTACACGCTCGTCGAGACACCACGAGACATGCCTAGAGGTGAGCATTATTTAACATAATCGGTTTCAAAAACTGCTTACGAGCTTGATAATCGTATACCCAGTTTCGTGGACAAAATGTAATGATTATTTTACGTACGCAGTTGACACACACCACGACCGGCGCTCGCGTAAGCGTTTCGTTTTGAACAGATTATTATTAAGATGAATATAGGTAGGTACGTAACACGATATACGACTCGCACAACGAGAGTAAAGAGTCCCTTCGGGATAGTTAATGGCTTACACGCAAGATGTGGATCATAAAAATTATGTGATGTGATGGACAATAATACTTAAGCACTTACATATTTTGGGACCATAAAATTGTACAAAAGTACTAATATTGACGATGTCACGCGCGTATTATAATTATAACACCTATAAAATGTTATATATTCGTAATCATAATCATAACATAACACAGTTAAACTAATGTTATAATACCTATAACCTGTTAATATTTTTGTAATCATAACCTAACACAAACACAGAACTAACCTACGCTATACTGTATTGTATACAGATGTATGTAGCGTTGCCAGGCGTCCGGATAAAGGCGGACACAGTCAGGCTTTTTGTTTGCGTGTCCGGCCAAATTAGACGGTGTCCAGGCCTGTCCGGCATTTGTCAGGCTTTTTATATTTGACCATTTTTTTTACATTTTTCATGTACTTAAATACATACTACCTATTGCAATTATTGAAACTAATATTGTAATGAATATTGAATGATTAATAATAAAGAACACTGATTCTTTTAATTTAAGATTTTGTAGTAAATGATATAGGGTTGGCATTGTTTTACTTTAAAAAATATATTATCGTTACACAGACTGAATAATTAAGGGTGTCCGGCCTTTTTACCAAAATGTCTGTCTGGCAAAGCTGGATGGTCTGTTCGGCTTCTCGGTTTAAAGACCTGGCAACCCTAGATGTACGTAGCTCATGGCGGCTGAACACGCTCATCTCGTCACCTCGTGTGCCTCTCGTCACGTAAAGGCTCGACGGAGAACACACCATGTACACACTCGTTGTATCATTTGAAGTTTGAACTCCATATGCCCGCTTGCTGCGTTTTGCTTTTGAACTATTATATTTTTTACACATTTACTAAAAATAAAATTAATAACCCATTGCTAAGAAGGAGATGGTGGATAGTTTCTATTAATTTACCGTAACAGTACCATGTACGGTGAATAGAATAGTGTCATAGCTTGCGGCTTGCGCCACGAAATATGAACAGTGCGGTGCGGTATGACATACGGGGAAGCGAAACCATAACAACGGGTGACGCGCTAGCTCCAAGTAGTGTCTCCCTGCGTCCAGTCACCCGCGCACATACTTGTGTCGTCTTGCGTACTATCGATATCGAAAGTGTTAGCGACTACCTGTTATACAATATTTAAATATATATATATATATATATATATATATATATATATATATATATATATATGTATAAAAATAAAGTAAATAATTATTCAATAAACTGGCACTTAAGACTTAAATATTGATATCGGTATTAAGAGTATGAAATATTTTATGAGATTTGTAAAACTTAGCAGGATCTATTGAAAGATGACTGTAATTATGTAAAGAAAAAAAGAGGTTCAACTAGTCCCGGAAAAAACACATGTTTCTTCATAAATTTAAGTACATATATATTTTAAATGAAATTAAAAAAAATCAATAATATCATTAAACACAGTATTTAATAAACTTTCTTACAGTGTATTACACTTCTTTATACATTATCATCAAAAAAAAGTTATTAACAATAAAATCACGTATGTCGTCTTGAGACAAAACAGAAATTACAAATACAAAATATTTTACCTCTTTAACTAAGTGTACACAAAATACAGAATATTCTTTAGCAGCAATTAAAACCTAACGATTATATATAAGTACGTTTTCGTAGAGACTTTGATGTGTAGTTATAATGTCGACCTTTGACTTTTTACATATTAAAATGTCATAATACAGTTTGCATTTTTCTGCTTGATTATAAATGTTATACACGTTAAGTAATATCATCATTCGCTCTCGGTTTTCATCGCGATACCTACGAGACCCTTTGACTCGAGCGCAAAAAACCGACACGCTTCCGAGAGCGCACGAGGGACACGAGACGCGACGCGACGCGACGAGAGCACCCTGTACACACTCGTACTCGCCCTGTCTAGACATGGGTCGTAACGTCTTGGACGTAATCGGTTGTACGTAGTTTCGTGGATATGAGTAACTAGTTTCAAAACTGCTTATTTTTGTAATTAGTTACATATGTATACAGTATAGCGTAGGTTAGTTTCGCGTTTGTGTTATGTTATAATTACGAAAATATTAACATATTATAGGTAGGTATTATAATATTAGTTTAACTGTGTTATGTTATGATTACGAATACGTAACAGGTTATAGGTATTATAACATGTGCGCGACATTGTCAATATTAGTACCTTTGTACAATTTTATACAGTCACAAAATATGTAAGTATTTAAGTATTATTGTCCATCACATCACATAATTATTATGATCCACATAATACACAAAAATTAACTTAATACAAAAAATATTTATTATTTATTTACACCAATTATATGTCTGTTTATGTACACTAAATATTTATATACACTTTAAATGTTTATTCACAAAGAAAACTATACATGTTATAATATTTATAAAGAAAAACGCGAAGTTTTTAAGAACAATGTTAAATAACGCTCGCCTCTAGGCCTGTCTCGTGGTGTCTCGACGAGCGTGTACAGCCGGCATGAGATTAATAAATAATATTTACCTACTGTAAAGTTTGTTTTTTAACTTACATCGACTTTGTCCGCCGTAACAAGTACCGACTTGCACTCATACACGTCGATCATAAAGGCCGCTAAAGCGTCATAAAAGACCCATATAGGTTTAAACACCTCGTCTTCTCCGGCACCAGATTTGAAAGAGGCGACAATTTTTTTTATGATTCAGCCGGAAAGCTGCTAAAAAAGGTTTCTTTTTTCCTTTTAATTTCGGAAACTGGTACTAACATTTCCTCAGCAATACGAGCCCATGCATCATTCACCTGTAAAAAACATAATGGATGATTTAAAATTAACAGAATGACACAAATTAGCGATTATAAACCTCATAATATAATAACGATAAATAAATAACTAAGTACCTACCTTATTTTTATCTTTGTGATATTTATGTTTAGGATTCCATATTACTGGTTGGTTCTGACATAGTTCTATGAACTTGAATGTCTCTTCATTTGACCACCCAGTAGTCATTGTTTCGCACTCGCGTTCACTTTTATTTAAAAACTTAAAAACGACGCGACGTACGCACTGATCGCTGTTCTCCGGTGAATGAATGATCGGCGATCGTGTCAATCGGCACGCGCACGCAATTACAAGCGATTCCCTTTGATGTGTGCCCGAAAAACCGACAAGGCACCGATCGCCACGATCACGACGACGATCAACGACGATTGAGGACGATGATGGGCAACTACAGGCGATTAGCCCCTCTACACGATCGTGCTCGCGTGTAATCGCCCATCATGGCCGATCGTGAAGAGGAGCCATAAACTACTGGTTCAAATTAACGAAGTTATACGAGGTCGAAAATGTCCTGAATTGCTTCGAGAACAGGATGGTACAGCCGTGCCGCTTTTTTGTTGCTCGACTTGGCGGGGGCACTACCGTGCTCCCAGATAAAATATAATATTTGAAGCTAATTGATAGATTCAGGCGTTACTTTGCGGAAATCCATTATAATAAAAAATAAAAATATAAATTTCTTCGCAACCTTCCGCCAAACAAATACAATGATGTGTCTTACCTGGATTGAAGAGCACCTCCCGCCCTCCGTCAATTGCATGCACTAACTCCGTCACCACTAATCCCAGCACCACTACTCCCAACACCACTATTCCAGGCAAGACACACCATCGACGATAATACGACAAGTGTTTCGCCTCTACACGAGGCATCTTCAGTGTAATGTAGACTCTACGGCGGCTCACCGTTAAGTAAAGTGGCCTTAGCGGTCAGCCGCCGTAGAGTCTACATTACCTGAAGATGCCTCGTGTAGAGGCGAAACACTTGTATTATCGTCGATGGTGTGTCTTGCCTGGAATAGTGGTGTTGGGAGTAGTGGTGCTGGGATTAGTGGTGACGGAGTTAGTGCATGCAATTGACGGAGGGCGGGAGGTGCTCTTCAATCCAGGTAGGACACATCATTGTATTTGTTTGGCGGAAGGTTGCGAAGAAATTTATATTTTTATTTTTTATTAATATTTGAAGCGTTTGTTACTGATCGGTATCACTTTTATACAAATTGACGAATTGTGATCACATTCAACAATGTAATTGTTTTATACGATGGTTTGTAGCTATACTTGGATCCGGTAGACAGCACGGTAATCAAATTAATAATTAATTCTATATTTATTGACGAAAATTACTATTTACAATATATCATTTTATAGTAGGTGTCAGAGTAATTAATAGCACAGAGAGAGCTCTTAAATAGGAACGAAAATTCTTATAGCTGAATATATACATATTTATACATAATACTTTTCATGTTGTTCCTGACGTCACATCAAGCTATTATCACCGGCTTGTAACATCCATCATCCTCAAACCGGTTCTGCGCGCGCTCCGCGGCCCCTCTACTAACATTTACTCAGTAGTACCTACCTGCCCCAGTCGCGAAGGCACGCAAATCGGCTACGTCAAAATAATAGTATCATTACTGATAATCTAAGCTCACTAGATGTCGCTAGTTTGTACAAAAGTGAACTTATTTGGTAAGCAGGTGGACGTACAGCACAGTGCCATCATCATTGAAAAGTTGCGGTTTTATTAGTTTTTCGCTTTCTAGTGTATGCTTAAACACTAAACAATGCCCCAGTGATATATGCTTTATATATATATTTTTTTTCATTTTTATTTTTTGTATCCATTCTGCTTTTAGTTATATATACGTAGTTTGGTTTATGCATTTGCAATCTAATTAATGAAATACGAATCTCTACACTTTTATAACAAATTAATTTCCCACGCTATAAAATCTATTAAATACTTCGCCTCCCTCACTCCCAGTGGTGTCAGAAAAAGTTGTTGATGCTCTCATTAAGCAGTCTGTTGACGCCTGACGCATTTTATTAGCAACAATACGCCTAAAATAGTCATTGCTTTTAATTATAACATTCTAGTTTCCATGGAATAATATGTATTATTTATTGTAACATTTTAATGTCACTGCGTGCTTTTGTATTATGTCTTCAGCTCTTGCTCTCTATAAAAATTTGAATAATCAATCAAAATGTTATTTATTCAAGAATTTCAACAGCAAAATGTGAGCACATAACAACATGTGGAGTAGGATAGAAAAAAAATCCATTGCAGATTTATTATAAAAACACATCGCATAACTTGCGCTTTTCTCTAGCAAACTTGAACTTTCTTATAAAAGTTTAGAAAGATCCGATAACATTAAGTACTTAATTCCGGCTCCACGCTGCTAGTTAACTTATTGCACCTGACACGACTTACAATAAAACTTTTAGCAGTGACCTTGTACAAGTAGTCGCAAAATTTTAATCGAACTAAACGTGTTTCAGGTGTGTATATAATTACCACATTTATTAATTTGAGATGGAGAATATCCGCAGTAGAATCAGAGTGACCGACATAGCCCAACGGATTAGTAAGCTGAAGTCGCAATGTAGCTCTGTAGGAGAAAAAAGCTTCTCGTGTGGCAGCCTCGTACCGGTAGACTAATAGCCCTCATCATCCTCACCAGATGGAGTGATGACCTGGTAAGACATGCAGACAAGTCTATGGATTGCAGGTGGCTTAGGACCGTGCTCTTGCTTATTGTGTGTCCGTGAGGAGATGCCTGTAACTGTCATAAGACCGTGGACGGAAAAGGGGAGATTCTCCCCAGCCGGGCAAGGAGTTCTGCTTCTGCCCGGAGAGCGGCCAACGCTCCATGAGATATTTCGAAGCTATTCTATATATATAGCGCGATTTAGGCTACGATATGTTTCGCAGGTTTCGCTTGTGGCGTGACGACAGCGCTGCCACAGTGGGATACCTTGTCTAACTGGGAGTCCGTCTGGATACCACCCTTTTACCTATTTTTACCACTGAATATCAGCGCTTTGTCCTGGTATAAGGGTACAGAGAGCCAGTGCAGTTACATCCATATAATTCCTCCATTATATTTCAGTTCCATATACGAGTAAGTCCTTAGAGCTGACGACATATCTGTAGCCTGCTTTGTTTGGAGTAGCTGCAGGTGTCCCCGGACTGCAGCAGCCACTTACCATCAGGTGGACTGGTGTGGTGGGTTGATGTATCTCTTCAGTTTTATACAAAAATATCTTTTCAAGTATTGGTCTCAGTTCACTCAACTTTTTTAAAGTATGTACCCCTTGTCAAGCTTTAAAAGTTCGTTGCTGGATATCCTCTCTCACCCAGAATTGTGTATAACTACTACGATTTTTGTCTTTATAGTGGATGCAGTTTACAGGCAGAAATCGCACAAGCAAAAAATCCAGACCCGAAACAAGTATTTGTATAACTTACAATTGTAATATATAATACTTGTTCCGTGCGGGATTTGAACCCGATACTTTTGACCCGGGGATTGAACATAAAAATTGTATATATATAAACAATAAAATATACAATTTTTATGTTCAAGATCGTTTCATATAACTTAGTACTAAACTACTTTAATTAAATTTTATCCAACAAAACATTTTCTTTTTGTTTTATAATTCTTACATTTCAAACTAATTTCAATCTTTATTACTGTCTGCATATTTTTACTCTTTGTTGTTAAAGTTTCTAGACATGGTTATAAGTTATAACAGTCGAACAAAGATAATATTTTGAAATTTCGACAAACTTTCACAAGTAAGTACGTTGATCGATGATTCCGTTGACTGTAAAATCCAGGAAAAGCAAATAAAACCGAACGTGTGGTGGCGATGAAGGTGTTCTAAGAATATTTTTAACTTCCCAGTGGGAAGTTATTGTAATAGGTCCGATTTTGTAAATTGGAAATTTTAACATATACATCTTCGATCAATTACTATTATGATCGAAGATATACATAACATAAGTCCGTGAGGGGATGTCCGTGTGCACATGTACGTAACATGTACGTATGTATGTACTCGTACTATATGTATGTTCGGATTCAATTTTCGCCTCGTGTATCTCGAGAACAAAGAGTGATATTGACATGGGTCCAGTTTCATTTAACGCATAATTATGTAACTTAGACCTCATTAATTTTGAGCAAAATCGATCAAGTCGTTTTTTGTGCCGAATGAAAAATTGTGTAAAATATTAAAACATAGATATTTTTTATTCCTTTCACTGGGAAGTCGTGTGGACCTTTCGGGTCCCACCTAGACCGCCTTTTTATAGGATAAGGGTGACAAACGAGCACACAGTCCACCTGATGGTAAGTGGATGCTATAGCCAAAAGACATTTACATTTATCCTAGATTAAGATTCAGAATGTGGGTGTGTTGTCACCCCTGAGGACTAAGATGGAATGCCTCGTTTCCACGAACGTAAATACGATACGAAACACAGCAACATTATGCTGCTATATTTCGCTGGTATTCTCAGATTGAGTTGATCCACCGCTTCAACATGTAGTCCAACTTTAATAAAGATTTCTTACATCGCTACTTAATAAAACTGTGACTTTCATTAACTTTGCATTTTTATATTCAAACTTGTTCATCTGAATTAAAACGACAACTTCCAGCAGTATTGCTTCTAAACACAAATAATTCGCGCTCTAAATGACACTTGAGAATCGCCCCCGTAAATGAGCGGCGAACTTAATTGTAAACTAAGCTTGCTTAATTGAACAGCGAAATAAAAATTAAGTTTGATTCAAAAGAAAAGTCGTTTTCAGATATCTTAGATGAAAATATTTATTTTACTTTGAGTTATTTTACAACTGTATGTTTCACTTAACACAAGAATTATTTATAGAACAGTAATAAAATTGAATGGAATAGAATGGAATCATTTTTATTCAATATAGTTTACTAAGATACTTGTTGAAAGTTTAAGCTTTACCACTGATTCGGAAAAAAAACTTCTGTCCTGGGAAGAATCAGCAAGAAACCCAGTTCGAAATTGAAAAAAATACAGTATATTATATAGAAATAGGAATGAAAAGATTCAGAAACAGCATGGTAGTTATCATATGATTCTCAGACGTTATTATCAGTCATGTACGCTTT